ATCATGAGTCTCGGCAGGCGGCTGACTATAACTCAACTATCACGAGGGCAGTCCAAATCACATGGGTGATGAGATTCGTCCCGCCCGGGGGAAGCTGGGGAAGAGGATGAAACCAAATCTCATTACCGTTAGTTTTGGCTGCCCTGGTATCGGCCGAAGAAAATCAAGCCTCCCTCAGAGCCGCGTGATGGTCCCTTCCATGACGCGACGACTGGTCGAGAGAGAGACCTCGTCGTCTGGAAGGTCGCCATCGATGGCAACAAGCGTCTCCAATGGCACGTCTGGCAACGCCCACGGGTCGGAGTCGCCTGGCGGTGCGGCTCTCATCGAGCGAATCCCGTCCAACAAGGGTGCACCGAGGGAGCAGTGGCTCACGGGGGCGCAGAGACAGAAACGAGGGAGGGATGGTGGCATGGTGGGAGTTGTGTTTTGTATTATTATTACTATATGTTGATTATTATTTCGACGCGGATTAAGGAAGGAATCTGTTCGCAGAGGCCAGCACGCAACTCGCATGATGTTAATGGTCTAACAACTCTGCTGGGACACCTGGGTCAAGTACAGCAGGCAAGCAATACCAGCTAGCAGTAAAGTGAACTGCCTTGTAGCGGTTCGTAGTACCTGAGCGGGAGAGTTATCTTCTCCCCAGCACAGCGAAAACGATGCGACATCGGACACAGGGAAACTTTCAGTGCGTTTGGGAGAGGGCAAGAAAGTTAGCCGCGGCTCTCGGTGCTTGTCCATGGGGGGAAGCAAAAAAAAAGGCTGAGGCAAACAAACAGGCATGTCGCAAAGCGATGCAGGAGGCCAAAATGGTGCGCCTGCCAAAATTCATTGTATACCTGAGTGGGCCGATGATCTTCTCCCATTGGGGCGGAAAGCGGAAGGGCGACAGACAACGGCGGGAATCTTCGCATTGCCTGGGGAGGAAGACGGGCACTTGTAGATGGAACGGTGCGGCACCAATCATGTTGGACTGAAGCGCCCACGGCGAACCCCTGCTGCTGGGTCTGGGCGGGCACGGGGCCACAAGGCTGTGTGCGACGAGGCCGCCGGCGGACAGCCTTGACCTTGAATACCGCCAGAGTGTCTCTACAACTGTCTCTGCGTCACCCTGTTCCCCTTCAAGGGCTTGTAATCAGCCAGACCCGCCGTCGGACCCGCCTGGCCATGCGCACCGCCAGGCTGCCTTGCACAGCAAGGCACTGCGCGCTAGGACCAATGTCCCTTGACCTGAAACAACTGAGCATGAGGGAGCTGGGTTGTCATGTGGCAGCACCGTACACATGTTTGACAATAGCCTGGCAGGAAGCAAAGAAGGCATCGCTAGCAGTCTTGATGGCCCTTCCACGCGGGCGGAAGCAACTAGCAGGAGGCACGAGCGTGGTCAAGCAACCTGCTGAGTGCAAGAGCGGGCCAATTTTCTTCACCCTTACCACGGCACGAAATGAGACGACGACGGAACGACAGCGGCTATCTGCACTCTCAGGAAATGGCATGACCGAACTGTCTCGCAATGCGAACGGTGCGGTACCAATCCCGATTGGACTGTAGCGCAGACGGCGAACGCCTGCTGCTGGGTCTAGGCGGGCAAGGGACCACATGGCTGCTTGCGACGAGGCAGGCCTGACCATGAACGCCGTCAGACCGTTTCACAACTGTCTCTCCCGATCAAGTTGAGACACAAACTGCTGGCCTGTTGACCGTTCGCTGCGTACTTGAATGGGAAATTGTCTTCACCCTCCGCACGCGACACAACGAGGCGGTGGCAAGCCACGTCGGTTATCTGCGCATTAAAAGGGGAAGGGAGAGAGAGGTCAGACAGCAAGAAGTGGGAAAGGCACGCTGCTGCAAATACCCGCGGGTGATGGTGCGGCGAGCGTCTTGCTCGCTGGCGCCTCGCTTGCGGGCGCGGGGAGGGGCCCCGAGAGGGCCTCGCACGTGCGGTGCGCCTCGGGGGCACCGTTTGCCTCGGCTAGGCTCGCGTGGGCACTTGACCCTATCCAACCCCTGTCCGGTGCCGAGCCTTGAGAAGGAGAGCAGGAGCGGTACCTCTGTCCGGGGAGGGGCTGCGGCGGCGGCAGCAGCATTGTCAGCTAGCCTTTTCGCCCGGACTTAGAACCTGTGCCTGCTCGCCGGGGCGCTACTGGCACATCCTGTCACATACTCCTGCACCCAACTCAGGGTCGACAATCTGGGGGGACACTTCCGTCAGGCACTTTCGTCTGGCAGCAGCCGCTTTGCGGCCCTGCGTCCCTAGACGATTCTGCGCTGTGCGCTCTCTGATAGCGTCTGTATGGGGGGACGGGAAAAGCCGGGGGAGGGGCACTGAAGACGGCCGTCGCAATCCCAGGCTGCTGGGAAAGACCTACGGAATCTAGTGCATCTTGACATTCCTGCTCCTGATTAGCCTCAGGAACCCACTCGGACAGTGCGTCGCAGTTGGGTCTGCTGCCGACTTGGATGCGATCTGGGATGCGGCAGCAAGGTCACGCGGTGTAAAACGATCCAGCCCCGGGTCAGTCCGAATGGTGCCATGGGATTTCGAAACGAAATCTAGGGCTCATCGCTCATCCACAGACATGCCTTGGCATGGGTCCCAGGAAATATGAGCACGCAGCAGCGCGTCACGTAGGTCTTCGGCGAAGACGGTCTTCGGGTTACTGCATACCCTTTGGGGCATCGTTTGGATCCGTCTGGTCCCACAACGCTTGTACTCCCGCAGCTGCAGAGTCCGCCAAACACCTGCGTAGCTGTGGTGGATCGGCTTTCTTTTGTGCCGTCCTCCACTCCTTGCTTGCAACACCGTAACCTACCAATTTGTCGCGTCACCTCCTACCGTGTGAACAGCGCTCGTTGCCTGGTGTAACTACTAACATGACATTCAAGCCTGGTATTCTTAAGGCAAAAATGCGTGTGGGTGCTCGGGGCGTCAGTCCGTGTCTACATTGTTCGAAATCAGTGCGTGTGGCGGCTGGCGACGATATGATAGCACGGAGTGCGTGCCATGTGACAGGACTGACTGCCTGCAACCTCCGATCACCCCGCTGTGGGTGCTCCAACTGGCAGGACGTGCCAACTGCCATGTGTTCCGCATAGAAGTTTGCCATGGCGCATAGTAATGCGCTGCCTACTCGTAGCTGCTTTATTTGCAGTGGTGTCATTGCTGTCTTGCCCCAAAACTCGCCATGCGTATGTATTGGGGGAGGTCCAGACCCCTCGGCCCACCTGAAAACTGAATCGGGTGCGGGTGCCTCCATGCGGACTCTGCCGCTGGGTCCTTAAGTAAGGCTCCCATCGGGGCCCACGAAACGTGTCAAGGGTGTATCGAACCGGGTGCGGGTGCCTCCATGCGGACCCTGCCACTGGGGCCTTCGGTAGAGCTCCCTATGGGGCCACGAAGCGCGTGAAGGGTGTGCCGAGTCGGGTGCGGGTGCGCCATGCGGACCCTGCCGCTGGGGCCTTCGGTGGAGTTCCCCATGGGGCCACGAAACGCGTGACTAGTGTGCCGAGTCGGATGCGGGTACGCCATGCGGACCCTGCCGCTGGGGCCGTCGGTGGAGCTCCTTATGGGGCCACGAAGCGTGTGAAGGGTGTGCTGAATCGGGTGCGCGTCCGCCATGCGGACCCTGCCGCTGGGGCCTTCGGTGGAGTTCCCTGTGCGGGCACGAATGGTATTGAGAATGTGCCGAATCGGCCACGCGGACCCTGCCGCTGGAGCTTTCGGTGAAGCTCCTATGGGGCCACAAAGCGTGCGAACTGTGTGCTGATTCGGATGCGGGTACGCCATGCGGACCCTGCCGCTGGGGCCTGCGGTGGAGCTCCCCATGAGGCCACGCAGCGAAAAAGGGTGCGCAACATCGGGCGCGTGTGCGCCATGCGGGCCCTGCAACTGGGGCCTGCGGTAGGGCTCCTTATGGGGCCACTAAGCGCGTGAAAGGTGTGCCGGCTCGGGAGCGGATGTGCCGTGCGGACCCTGTCTCTGGGGCCTTCGGTGGAGCTCCCCATGGCGCCACGGAACGTGTGAAGGGCACGTTGAATCGGACGCGCGTCCGTCATGCGGGCCATGCCGCTTGGGCCTGCAATGTGGCCCCCTTTATGCCGACATGAAGCGTACGGAGAATGTGCCGAATCGGATGCGGGTACGCCATGCGGACCCTGCCGCTGGGGCCTGCGGTGGAGCTCCCTATGTACCAACTGATGAAAGCACACGAAGTCCTTCACGGGCTCTCTAGATAATACTGTCTGTCGTTTCTCGGGCTCACTATTAATAATCCCGTCATGGCGAAGAGCAAAGAACGCACCCGTTTGTGTGACTCAGGGGCCCCTCGATCATGAAACAGCGGCGGTCCAACAACCATGAAACGCACTGCTGGATACACTGCTGCAAATACAGTACTAAGAGAAACATGTAATACTATTAAACATCAACGGAAAAAAAAGGCTCACCTAATACGAAAGAAACTCTGAACGGAAATCGTGAATCTCACGGGCAGTCGCCCCCCCTCGGAACAAACATGGCCTGGCAACAATAATTCGCAAAACCACGAGTAGAGTAAAACGCTCCACCGCACAAAATCTCAATCCATTAATTCGCTGTCGAAGCGAGGCTCGGCTTCTCGCCTCGACGCCACAACCTGCGGGGAAACTCACTTGCCGCTCGTGGGCGGCCCATCCTCGTTGCAGAACCTGCAAATCTCGTACCTCGTCGCGTTCTTCGCGCCCCGCAATCCAGCACATGTGCTCGTCAGATGGTATCTCTCGCTATGCGTGCTGATGTACATGTCGGGCTGCTTGGCTGTCGTCACTGAGCGCCTTCGGGTTGCGGGCGTCACCGTCGGTCCGCGCGTCGGCGCATCTCCGGGGATGGTAGACCTCATAGTCGTCTTCGTCGTCTCACTGCTCGTTCCCATCTTCGGTGAGGCACTGTCCGTGCCCTTTGCGTCTTCGTCTTCTTCTTCTTCTTCTTCACTCGTAGCTCCACCTCGTAATTGTAGTACTGTGTCCGTGGGGCTCTCCATCTTCCGCTGGGCCAGCGTTACGTCAACCATTTTCCCCATGCAGTAGCCGGTCGCTAGACCGATGCCCAGCAATAACACGATCACAAACACGAGAGACGCCAGGAGGCCCCGCGCGCCACCGTCCAGATCGACCAGGGTGCGCGCGTCGCGTCCTTGGCTCCCTGAAGCGGCGCCTGCGGCTAGGAGTAGCTGCGAGCCTCCTCCCGCTCGCTCCGTAATGTCCTCGGCGCGCTCTCTGCTTCGGCTGTTCCGTAGTCTCGGTCGCCGGCTTGCTCCAGCTCTTGCTCGCGCAGCTCCGCCTGCCTTTTGCTCAGCTTCTTCCCCGCCACGAAATTCGGGTCGTACTTCAAGCGCATGTACTCCACGTCGTAGTATGTCCGCTAGCGTCTGGCGACTGCTGAGCTTGGTAAGGCCATCGGCCAGCTGCTGCCGAGTGTTGACCCATCTCCAGATCGCGTCAATCTCCTTCATCTGTTCGTGCACGATCCTGACCTCGATGGCGGCGCGCTTCTCGGCGATGCTCAATCCCGCGGTAACTGACCGCGAGGCGTCATCGAGACACTTGGCGTCCGTGATGAGAGGGGACTGGCCGAAGTGCGTCATGGCCTCGTCGCCCGTCAGGTCGGGCCTTAAGCTCAGCGCCACGTAGATCTTCACCCACATGAGCGAATCAACGCCCAGCGCGGCGGCCTGAGCCCCGGCTGACAACGAACTCCTGCACAGGCTTTGCGACTTCTTCGAAGCCCATTCCATAGCCACGATCTGTGTAGGCGTGCCCCTCTCAAGCTCCTCGGCAGGTCCGATGAAGATCTGGTAACCATCCTGTGAGCTCCCGTCAGGTCGGCTCGCCCAGCTAGCATCCGAGTAAGTTCCAATCCTCATAGCGCTCCATGGCTCGTAGAAACTGAAGTGCAGCCCGACGTCCGCATTGGCCTTCAGGAATCTCAAGTCCTTGTTCGCGTCGATCATGTCCTGCACGGTGGCGTTGCCCGTCGCAGCAGCACGGAACGACACGGTGACGGCTGCAATAATGATTCCTTGCGCGGCTGGCCACTGCAACTGCCCATTCAGCGTCCTGAAACTTGTCAACTCCTTCGGTGTCAATGGACTCGTCGGGTTCGCACGTCGGACCTTGTCGATGGTGATCGGTTTGACCGCGTGCAAACACTTCTCGAACCTCAGCGTGGTCGCATAGGTGTTGGCGTTCTGCTCCAGCTCGCCACTCGTAAACGTTAGCTCAAACCCGAAAATCCCACTTGCCGAACTTGAACTTCTGGTTCAGTGGAGCGAGCCTAGCCTTGAACGGCTCGGGGTCGTCCACGGGCGTGTGCAGATCGTCCTCCGTATTCGCACTCTCTCCGCGTCCCAAGAAATCGTCCACGTGCTTCCCGATCAGGCCGTCCACCACGTAGTGCTGGCCGTCGATCACGCAGATGTCGAACGGGTCGTCACTGGCCCTCGCGATCCGAAGGCTGAGTAATGAGCAGTCCTCGAGCCAATGGTTCTTGAACCCGATCTCCTTGGTGACTTCGTCGGAGCGGTAGTGTCGCAGCTTAGGCGACCGCGGGTCTCCAAAGCATGGCTAGATCATCTTCAGCAACTGTCCAGGTTCCAAACCGATCTGTGGTGACAGCATCTCCCGCATCTCCTTGGTAGGTGTGGCGTACAGCTTCAACCCGCGGGACTCCACGTAGTCAGCTTGAAGGAAGGAGGACTTCACGTCGGCGGAAAGCAAGTTACTCTTACGCACTGTCGCCCATTGCATGATGGTGTGTCGGCCTAGGCGGCTCAGGGTCGGCGCCTCCTTGTCGAGCTGCCCCTCGACCACGTCGCGATGCTTGAAGCCCTGGTGCAAAACTCGCGTTGGCCACGTGCTGGCCATCCTTCAGCTGCCACTTCAGCAGGAACCGTAGCGGACAGCAAGCGGCTGGGTCGACCTCGGACTCGTTAATGGGCTCCCACCCCTCGTTCTTGTTGGGTTTTATACTTCGCCTCCTGGAACTGCTTTTTTTCCTCGGGTGAGTGGCCTCCACGAAGGTGGGGGCCTTCCGCTTGCACGTGACCGTAAACACGGTCCCGGCCGATTCTTCCAGCAAAAGCAACTCTTCATCATCTTCGTCCTCCATGAACTTCGCGTCCTCGGCCTTGGCCTTGATCGTTTTCCAAACTCAATTGATCGCGTCTCGGGGTGGTGAGGTAGGGGTGGGCCGTGTAAGATAGCAGTGCAGGTCTTATTCCTCCTCCTGCCCTGCCTGTCTTGCGTGCCGCTCAAGCTTTTTCTGGCTCGAGGTCTCTCGAGCCAGGAGCTCGCGCTCGCCGCTCCGCCCCACCAACTGGGGCGCTCGCGGCGCGGGCGCTGATCGTCTGCACCACGGCGGGGCGGTGGCGGTTCGCCAACGCTGCCTTGCTCTCGTACATCGGGGACTGGGGGGTCCTCGACGCGCCCCTCTCGAGGCCGCTGGTGGAGCCCGAGGACGACGCGTCACAGAAGGACACGAGAGAGTCGAAGCGGCTGAGCCTCCACGACTATCGACGGGTTCGCATGTCTAGCGTGATACGATGGAGCCGCTTCTATCGGACGATGGCCCCGTGACGGGGGCGGGTGCGGATGTGCCCGAAGAAGAAGAACGACACAAGTGGGATCTACGTGGAGCTGGACCACGCCCTCTGGGTGGGCGGCATCAAGGATCGGGCGAAGCGGTCGAGTCGTCGGCGGCCTGGCTGGGACCACGTGTCCTTCCCTGCCCCCACGGCCAGCGAGAGGACGGACGTCCTGGAGAAGGCCCGGGAGAGGCCGCTCGAGGCCGAGCTGTATCTGTCCGACGCTCACGGCTATGGGGCCTCCTTGTCCTGGTTTCGCTCTGGGCTAGCTGGCGCGTGGCGCACATGGAGCTGGGGGTCGACGGTGTGTTTCGCCATCTTCTCCAGGGGAGTTGCCGTCTCTGGCAACCTGTGGCGGTGGATGCGAGGGGTGGTGCCACCACGCGCTCCTCGTAGTCGACGACTTCCGAGGCGACTGTCGCGACCTCTACCCAAGCGGCAGGCTCGAGTCTTCCATCATGATCTTCACCGCTTTTGTGGCCCTCGGGCCAAGTCTCTGGAGTTGCAGCCAGCAGAGGCCATCACCACGGCTAGCGGGGGAAACGCCTCCAGGGATCGCCATGGACAGCGACGGGGAGGCGGGCCCCTCCAGGGCGGGTTCGTCGGACGAGTCGGTGCCAGCCAAGGGCATGCAAGAGAGGCCAGCCACGACGAGCAGCCTGTTCGACGAGATAATCCGTTCACGGTCGGAGTCGCGTCGTGCCCGCACAAGTCAGAGCACCTCGTCGGCGGCGTCCCCTGGAGAGAGCAGTCACGCCAGCGGGAGATGATTACCCCGTGGCGCGACCGAGCCCCGCCTGGACCGGCATGTAGACAAGATGATCGACTGGTTAAAGCGTTTCAAGGACACGAGCGATGCGGACAAGGCCTCGCAGGGATGCCAGCCCCCGCAGGCCGCGTCGCCCACGGCGGCCACGTCGGGTTCTGCGACGGGTCCTTCCATCGACCTGGGAACGACGGAGACGCTGGCGGGCGCGGGGGGAAGCCCCGAGCCGTTGATGAAGGTACGCTGGGGCCCCAGGGAGCGGGCGCTGGCAGACCTCGGGAAGATCGATGCGCTGCCCACCGTCACCCGCCTCGCGGGCCTCCTCACCTCTCACGTGGCGCCAGAGTTGCTGGTCAAGACCTACGGGATGGACGCCAGCTTGGGAAGTTCGCGACGGACTGGGTTCGCCCCAGTTAGCCGAGTCGCGACCACCTCGGCCACCAGAGGATGCCGCACTGCATGAAGCTGGATCGGAGGTCGGAGGCCTCGCCCGAGCTCACCAAGACGGCGGGGTACGAGACCCTGCGCGCCCGAGTCTACGCGCCGAAGCGGGCGTTCGAGGACGTGACAGGCATCATCGACGGGAAGCAGCCTCGGGACAGCGGGGCCGACAAGTGGAAGTCCAGGGTGTGCTGGGACCTCACGGACAAGCTGGACTGGAGGTCTCTCACGGAGGGCGAGGAGGCGCTCACGGGAGTGGAGCGCTACTTGACGGCCTGGCTGCAGCAGAGGGCTCTTCAGCATACGTATCTGCAGATGGAGGGCTCGGACGCGGCAACGGAGGAGGACGAGTAGACGGGGGGATGGTCTCCCCCGTCCGTGGAGCCCTGCGGGCCCCCCCGCACTCGAGGGGGAGGCTGGCGGTTTGCCGTTCCGTTCGCTCTGACGGCGGCCACTCTTGTGGGCTCACTCTCCCGATAGCTGTGGAGGCGCTCTCGCTGGTCGCGACGATATTTTCGCGTGACACCGCATCCCTCGGGAGGCGACGACATGCCCGTTTTTCTCCATCCACACGTTTCTCCATCGTCTACCTCGACAGCAGCCGCGGGCGTTCCTCCCGAGGCCGTTCCTCGAGACCGAGACCCTCTGCCGGGCGAGCCGCTGCTGCCCTGGTCGGTGGTGGCGGACCGCGCGGGGCCGATACATCAAGGCACGCTACGACGTGTGTGAGCTCTCGCCGACGGGCTGCTCCGATCCATGCACCACCCATGTCGGAGCAGGGCCGGAGCGGCCGAGGGCGTTGGGCCGTCGGCCGCGTGGGAGCGGGCGACACCGCTCCAGAGGGCTACTTCGAGGAGGTTCCTGGAGGCGTGGCTAGCTTGGGGCAGCCAGGTGGCCGCGATCAAGGTGGACGAGGACGCTGCCCTTTGGCGCGTCACGGCCGATCGGGCCTCGCCGTGCTCAGGCGAAGGGGCTTCTGCTGCCCTGGGAAAGGATTCAAAGGGATGAGAGATGCTACCGAAGGGCGTGGTGGTCTCCGTCGACGCGGGGGAGTCTGCTCGCCCGCCACCAGAGACCAACCCTGCCAGGACCGTGGACATCTGCCCGCTGGCCACCGAGGACCTCTCCGACGGTGCGGGAAGGATGCCACGCAAGCCCAACCCCGCCATGGAGGAGGAGCTGAAGGGCCAAAAGGTCTACCGAGATCCGTCTTTCCGATCGAGGACATTTCTTCCCCTCCTGGCCGAGAAGCCCTGGGAGGCGGGGATTCTGGGGACCACCGACAAGCTGGTCGAGGGCGTCCCGCTCTTCGGGGTCATCCAGAAGTGCTAGCGGGAGGAGGCGGACCCCCTCGGCCCCGTCAGGCGCCAGATCCGCGCCGTCTGGGACTGGAGGCGGGCCAACCTCCGCTGGCAGAGGCCCATGCACGGGCCCCCGGGCAGCTCCGCGACCCTGACCAACCTGGACCTCTCCAATCTCGGCGAGGCGGAAATGGTCTACACGGGGGTGGGCGCTATCCCCGACAGGTTCGACCGCTTCGAGACGCCGCCCGATGTCTGGCTCTACTTTGTCTTGGAGGGGCTGCCCATCCACGAATTCTTCGACTACATGAGGACCACAGGGCAGGGCTACGTCATCCCCCATGGCGGGTCCCTCCTGGCGGTGAAGGTCTTGGTCATGGGCCGGCCGTGGCTCCTGCCTCTGGCCCACTCCAGGCCGAAGGCTCTCACGGCGCGCAGGCTCTGGGCGGGCTCCGGGGGTGCGCGCCTGGTCTACGGGGCCCCGACGCACCAGTTGATCGGGCCCGTCGAGTTCGAGTCAGGGAGCTGGGCGTACATGGACGACTACGGGGTCGTGGCCACGTACGCCAGCGGGCGGCAGCCAGTGAGCGAGGTCATGAGGAGGCTGACGGCCCGAGTCAAGTACTACTTGGGGAAGGCCGGGCTCCCCGTCCACCAGGAGAGCGAAGGCGAAAGGATCGAGTCGTGGGGTGCGGTCATTCGAGGCCGACCTTACACTGTCTCGGCCGAAATCGATCGCACTTGTGGCCTGGCTCTGGCGGCGCTGGGGCTGGCGGTGCGGACGTGCTGGACCCCGGAGCCATCGTGAAGCTGCGGGCGTGGGCGGCCATCTCCCAGCGCATGGGCCTCGCCATCTGCGACCGGGTCTACCGCGAGATGAGGCGCCCAGAGACCGCCAAGACGCCGTTCCGCCTTACAGACGCGGCGAGGTGGGGGCTGACGACGATGGCCTACTGCGCCCCGCCCAGGCACACGGATCTCGAGGCGCCTTGGTTCTCGCAAGTGTCTATGACAGGTATGACGGACTCCAAGGACAAGGGCCACGGGGTTGCGGTCACCGCCACCGACGCTTGGGCCCCCCACGTTGGGGGGTGTACCTACGACGTGGGCGAGCTCGCCGAGGCGTCGGCTACACCTCCGCAGCGGATCAGCTGGAGGGTCCACCAGGCGCTCCACCTCTTCGCGGGCAGGCGCCGAGAGGGGGACCTGGAGGAGGCCATCTACGCGCGTGCGGAGTGCGACGGCTACGAGATCAAGGTCTGGCCCATCGACTCGGTGATCGAGCCGAAGCACGACCGCCCCAACGACGAGCTGGTCAGCGCGATTCTGGGTCAGACGCGGGACGGGCACTTCCACGCAGTGATTGCCTCGCCGCCATGTTCCACCTGGAGTCGAGCGTGCTTCCTGAAAGAGAGGCCCAGGCCCTCGCGGACGCGCCTCGAGCCTTGGGGGCGGAGCGACATACTACTCACAACCTTCGAGCACATCCGCCTGGACCTTGGGTCGCGCCTCCTGCTCACGGCCATGCAGGCGGTCCGCGAGGTCTGCCGAACTGGTGGCCTGGGCCTGACGGATCACCCCGCGGACCCAGAGGAGGACCTGTACACGTCTATCGGGACCCCCCCCGAGATGGCTTGCCTCTGCGAGGAGACGGGCGGCCAGATCTATCAGATCGACCAGGGCCGCTACGGAGCTTCGCCGAGGGAGTCCACCATGAAGGGCATCTTCGGGGTCTACGACGACGCACTGGACCTCGCCGTGGGCCGTCTCCGCCCGAGAGGCAACCACCGAGGGAGGCATCAAGCGATACTCGAGGGACGAGTGGAGCGGGGCCGCCCCGACATCTGCACCGCCTCCGCCCAGGCCTGCCAGCCCCCGCGGCGCGCCGCGCGAGGGGGGGCGATCCTCGAAGCGTTGGCCCGCATGGCGAAGGAGATGAGGGGCCCCGATCCAGCGTGCTCGCGGGCATCTCCAGCTACGACGTCCTTCGGGCCGCCGAGGCCGGGAGGGGCGGAGATCGAGGTCCCCCCCCCGCTGTCCCCTGCTTGGATGCCACCTGCGAGATGGCGGCCGCTCTACGTCGGAAGGTGGAGGAGCACGGAGCACACGAACACCAACGAGATGCGGACCGTGGTGGGCGCGCTCCGACTCCTTGCCAGATCGCCACGGAGGCGGATGCTGAAGGTCCTGAGCTTCACCAAAAGCATGGTGGCCCAGGGAGCTCCAGGCGAGGGCCATTCGAGCTCATCAGCCCTGTTGCGCCTGGGCCACGGGCACTACCGCTACGTCCCGCCGGAGCTGAACGTCGCCGAAGGCCTCTCTCCAGGATGTCTCTTGGGAGCGGCGCCCGAGACGGTGGCAGCCCACTGCGACCGACGCCCCGCTCCGACGGACAGCCGACCTCACGGTCTACGCGACTTGGGCCACACGTGTACGGGATGCGCTAGTGGCTAGCTGCCCTGGCGTTGGAGGCAATCCACCCCGTCGGAGCGATTCGCCAGAGGCCGCACACGGCAGGAGACGTTCCCCTGCAGAGGCGGGGGCCGCGGGCGTGGGACAACTACGAGAAGGAGACGTACCTGGGCATCCGCGAGGGCGGCTCCACGAGGCGATTCACCCACTCCGTGGCGGACGTCATCGCGGCACAGTGGGCCCCGAAGGTGCGGGACATTCTCAGCTACCGCGTCGACAAGGGTTGGGAGCTTCGGTGCAAGAGCGTCATGGGCCACGCCCTGGCCGACTACAGGGACATGAAGTGCTACCGAGACCGACTCCACCCCACATGGGGGTCGATCGTCCTGTCAGGGTGGCTGGGGAGTTGGCCTGAGCTGAGGAGCCAGCTCCCCTTGGCCTTGCGAAGCTTGAAGAGTTGTCAGAGGTTGGTCGTCCCTGTGGAGGGAGGCCCGTGGCCGGAGGAGGCCGTCTTTGCCATCGCCGTTTACTTTCTGGAGGGGGGGCTCCTGGGCGAAGCCATCGGGACCCTCATGCAGTACGACGTCTACGGGCAGGAGCAGGATATGGCAAGGCCGCGCGAGGCCGACATCATTTGGGGCGGCCGAGGCGTAGGCCCCCTGGGGTGCATCTCTGCCAGAGGCGACAAGGGCAAGACGGGCGTACCTGGATGCCGAGACTCTCCGAGCTGGGGGGGCCCGCGCCAACTACAGCAAGCAGCAGAGGCGGCTGGTCGACAGCAACAAGACGAACTTGAATCTGAAGAAGGTGAAAGAGGTCGCCACGGAGCTCGCGACAACTGGATGGTGGAGAGAGTGAAGCGACAGGCCAAGCGGGGGCGCCCGAGTGGGCGGCTAGGGGCGCTATACGAGGGCCCCCTAGAGGTGTGTGGCCTACGGGCGCGACCACCACCCCGATGTGCTCTTGGCCGATCGCATGATGAGAACGTTGTGGTCCCCGCCCGCCCACCCTGGACTACAACCTGAAGCATTTCGGCTACGCCAGGCACATCAGATGCGGGGGTGGGAATGAGAATATTCTGATGCCGATCGCAACTCGAGTTTTTGATGATTGTTGTGATTTGGTTGAGGTTATACACATCTCAATCGGCCTCCCGATGAATTGCATTATATGTTTGGCCCGTCGGGGCCCTCGTGCAGCGTGTGGTCGAAAACGTACTTCCTATAGGCCGCTTCGCGGCGTTGCTGCACGTCCCGCTGACTGAGACCGAGTTGTCATAGTCAGCTTTGCTGGCCCCCCGCCCGCCCCCTGAGACGTTGCGATAATGATCGTTTCCCAAACTTAATTGATCGCGTCTCGGGGTGGTGAGGTAGGGGTGGGCCGTGTAAGATAGCAGTGCAAGTCTTATTCCTCCGCCTGCCCTGCCTGTCTTTCGTGTCCGCTCAAGCTTTGCCCCCCTTTGAACGTTTTGCCCAACCCTGCTCTCACGACACGTGGGAATGATAATATTCTGATGCCGATCGCAACTCGAGTTTTTGATGATTGTTGTGATTTGGTTGAGGTTATACACATCTCAATCGGCCTCCCGATGAATTACATTATATCTTTGGCCCGTCGAGGCCCTCGTGCAGCGTGTGGTCGAAAACGTACTTCCTATAGGCCGCTTCGCGGCGTTGCTGCGCGTCCCGCTGACTGAGACCGATGTGTCATAGTCAGCATTGCTGGCCCCCCGCCCGCCCCCTGAGACGTTGCGATAACTAACGTCGTCCAAGTGAGCCGTGCCTTCTTATTCGGCAACCCGTCCAAACGGTCGTTCGCCTCCGCGCTGCGTTTGGTCAACTGCTCGATGTAGGCCCTGGTCGGCTCACTTGCCGGCGAGGCCGCAGCTGGCGCTTCCGCATGGGTGTCAACAGGTGCTGGCGGTGGCTCCTCTGGCGAGTCGGGCACGAAGCTGTCGGGCGACTGCTCCTCCGCGGCAGGGGTGGCTGGCGCGGCGTCCTCTGGTTGCCCAGCCTCCTGATCCGTCTCCGCGCGAGCGGCAGCAGTAGGGGGCTGGCCCATGTCGCCCACAGTTTCGTCGTACTCTGGCATGTCGCCCTTCTCTCGCAGGTCCTGGAAGTTGAACGCCCCCCTGGTCTGCTTGAGCGCCTTCCGCAGCTTCTCCATGGTGCTGGGCGGGCAGTGTGGGTCGCCAGGCCCTGCCTCTCGCTCCCTCGTCTCCGACGCCAGCTGAGGTCGTGGCTGCTCCAAGCTGCATTTGTGCATGGTGCGCCCGTGCGTGACCCAAGACCACGCCTGCATGTAGCACCTCGTCTTCGTTAGACTTAGCCTCCACGGCCACGACCAGCGCCGGCCCGTGCCAGTGGCGCTTTTCCAGCGCTCTGTCCGTGTCTGGCCTCCAGTAGCACGCCCACTCGCCGATCTTGTAATCCCTGCGTGCGGGGCGGCTGCGCGCGAGCAAGGCGGCTCGCGCGGCGCGGGGGCAGCTCGCTTCGATGAAGGGAGTGCCCGCGGCCATCCGACGCACCATGATCTCGTGCACCTCGCTCTTCGGGTCAGTCAACGCGGACTGCTCGGCTAAGCCGAAGTCCTCGTCGCTCAACGCTCCAGGTATGCTGGGCTGTGCGCCCAACGCTAGCACTGCCGGAGAGAAACAGTTGACGTTCCTCGGCGCGTTCCGTTGGCTGGCCGTCATCCCCAGGGCCGTCTTCAGCGAGTCGTCGGGGAACTGCATGTGGTACTTGGCCAACTGTTCTCTGCGGCCGGCATGATTGCGCTCCATCAGGCCAAGCTTGTGGTGGGCACCCTTGGGGATGATGTCGAACTCGGTGTTGCGCTCGCTCATCCACTGCTGCATCTTGGCTGCCGTGTGCGAGCCTCCCGCGTCTATGCGCATGCAGTCGGGTTTCCCTGCCCAGCTGATCCACAACTTCCCCCACAGCTTCGGTTCGCGCCTGAACGTCTCCTTTCTGGTCGGGTAATCAACCTCGCACCTTGAGAACTCGTCCACGATGGCTAGGATGTTCCGCTCCTTCTTCTTCCGCATGATGTAGTGCACGTCCGTGCAGACCACCTGGTTGAAGCGTTTGGCTCTGTGCAGAACCGCTACGCGGACTGAGCGTGGCCTCTGGCGCTTCATGCAAATCTCGCACTGAGATACCCGAGCGCCCTGGATCCACTCAGCTGGGGCCTTCGCGTTCTGCATGAAGGTGGCTAGCGCGGCGCTGGAAGGATGCCCCAGGCTGATGTGCGCGCTTGACGGCTCGCGCGGTGGACACGGTATGGCGCTTCGTGAGCTCCCACATGGCGTCGTTGTACTCGCCCAAGTCGAAGTCGGGTCCGACCTCCTCTGTGGCGTGGATCTCGTCGACCCCCTCGATGTCTTCCTCGCGTCCCTGATGTGCGATGAGGTAGGCCATGCGCTTCGCAATCTTTATAGGATAATTCTGGGCTTGGGACGCTAGCTTCCCAAGAAGCACCACGTGTTCCGTCTTGCACTTGCATCTCATGCTCATGTTCTTAATGGACTCGTAGTTGGTTGACTGTAGCCTTGTCGGCTTCTGGCACGGCTTGGTCACTCCGTCAATCTCGCGCTCGGCTCCAAGCCGGCACTGATCCAACCTGTAAAAATCACCTTCAGCTTTTGCCACGTCTTCGTCTTCCAATGAAGTCCGCTCAAGGGTCCTTCCACACATGCATGGCGCCTAGCGGCGGCCTGCTTGTCGAAAGTCTGTTTCGCCAGCTTCAGGAAGGTGGCTTCCTCGCGCTCCCTGGCCTTGGCGACCGCCTCCTTGCGCCCCTCCGAGAGGGGCGCGTTCGCGCGCTGCCGCGAACGCCGGGTGGTGCACGGCGGTGCAAAGAAAATGTCGTCTGGTTTCTCCCTGTCGATGGCCTCCAGAAACTGCCGAATGATGCGCGCTTCGAGAAATCCCAGCCCTCGCTCTGCTTGAAATGTACCACCTCGACCATCGGGTAGTTCAGCAGCTCGGTGGAGAGCTGGCCTTGGTCCACGAGGACCTCCCAGACGACTCTCGGACCAGGGCCCTGTAGTAGCGAGCGCATCCCGTCTTCGGCGTTCTCCACTGCGAGGATCAAATCGGAGTAGACGTCCGGCGGCATGCCGTTGGGGTCCTTCCCGGCGCCGTCCTCTGGATCCTCGGAATCGCCTATGACTGTGATCTCGTCCGTCTCGTTCGGGGCCAGGAACGCCGCGCACGTCTCCAGGTAGCGCGCGCCAGCGTCTCCGATGTCCGAGTCCGCGGCGTCGCCCTCAAGTCCCGAACCGCTCGAAGCGAGATCGGGTGAGTCGTCGCCGGCGTTGCTGCCCTCGCCCTCCGCCGGGATGCCCATGTTCATGACGTCGTCGGGCGCTTTGCCAGCGCGGCCTAACAGGTCGATAATGAAGTGTCCCTTCTCGTCGCGCTCGGAGGTCATCCAGCCTTTCTCGGGGTGGCGCCTCAGCAGAAACGTGCCCTCGCGATAGTCCTGGACCAGCCTCCGCTCCTCCATGCATGGCCTCGCGATGAGGAGCGGTGCCCACCCAGGCGCCAGGTGGATGGTGGTCTCCTTCCTCGCGCCGAAGGGCCAGACGGTGAGCGTGACTTTCTGCTTGGCACCTAGCGTCTTGCCGTCGCCGAACCTGAACCTGCGGTCGCTGTTCTCGTACTTCACGTCGTGGATGAGCTGCTTGGCTCGCAAGTACTCCTCCCGCTGTCGCCAATTCTGATCGCTCATGACGGGTCGGGTAGCTCCTCCATTGCTGATGCCCTTGCCGGCCGTGACCAAGTTCACCTCCTCGATGGTGTTGGCGAACTCGAGATCCTCAGTGTTCGCAGTACCGCCCACGTCCTCGACCATGTGCGACCCCGCATTTTGGTTCACGAAGCCTCCAGCTCGAAACCGCTTGAACCGAAGACCGCGCTGCTGAGTCGACCCCGACGCGTTCGACCTCGGAGGCGAAGGCGGCGGGGCCGACGTAGGCGACCGTGGGGACGCCTGGCCTCCGCGAGGAGGGAAGCGTGGCGGTCCCTTGCCCTTGCCCTTGCCTCGTCCTTTGCCCTTGCCTCTGCCGCTGCCCTTGGGCGTCGACCGCGGCTCGCGTGTGAAGTTGTTGTCGGGGCCAGGGCAACGATCGGGTAAACACTTCGGGACTTGGCGATCTCGGCCACGCGCTTCTTGCTCTCGACGAAGCTGACGTACGCCTCGCCGCAGGGAGCCTGCGCTTCCTCGACCTATGGCAGCACGTCCTCAGCCCCGTCGGCGTCATCCTGCTTGTGCCCGTGGCCGTCGTCATTTTTGTAGTAGTGGTCGTAGTCGTCATCCCCCTCGAAGTAGCCGTCCTCGCCCAGGTGCGAGTCCTCGTAGGCGAAACCTCTCTCCCATTCGTAATCGTTCGTGTAGTTCGCGTCCGCGGTGGCGCTGCTTCCTGTGAGCGTCCACTCGGTCCTCTTCGCGTCGCGCTTGTTTGGCGTTGCCTCCGCTCCATACGTATCGAGCAGCACCCTGCGAACCTGCAGCCAGCTGAGACCGTCTCCACACTGGCTACGCACCTGGGTGGCTCCGTTCGGCGGTATCGCGGCTCGATTGAGGAGGTGCCAGCCAGCCAACATGTCAGGAATCTCCATTCCGACCTCCTTCAGCTTGCGCAGCTCTCGCTGATGGCGTCAGAGATACAGCTTCAGCGTCTTTCTCCTGTTGCGCAAACTTGCCGAAGAAGGTGTCGGTTTTGGCCGGCAGCTCGGTCTGATTATCGTACTTGTCGTATTCTTCCAGCGCCTTGATGATGGGCTGGAACGCATCTTCTGTCTCCAACAAGTCCAGGTCGATGTCTGCCGTGGCCTCTGCTGCCTCACCCTGCAGCGAGTTCATGATCAGCTAGGCGCCCTCGCTGACGGCGTTGAGGCCTTTCTTGCGGCAGCGCCTCTCGAATACCTGGAGCATGCGGCGAACAACTCTCAAGCCCTCGCTGCGCAGCAGCTCGAAACTGGGCGCAGTCTTGCCCAGGCCTGCATCCAGGTCTCTTCCCCCGCCCCAGCCGTTCTCGGTGCGGGTCCACCAGCCGCCGCTCCTCCAGCGGCTCCAACTGTCATCCTCTTCTCCTAGCGTGGCGGCATAGTCGGCTTCGTCCACGCTGCTCGGGATCTGTGCCCCGCCTGCCGCCTGGGCCCGCGAACCGGCCGCGGCGGCTGGGGCAGCTCCTTCTGCCCCTTGTGCGGATCTCGCACCCGTTCTCCTCGTCGGCGGTGCCGCTGGAGGCGAAGTTGGCGGCGCGGCGCCCGGA